ATTAAAAAAAATAAAGTAATTAAAGTTTAAGATCTGTATACATTGGTTGCCACTGACAAGTAGCACCATTGAAGTTACGAACAAAAGGTTAGCAAATCAAAACCACTGAGTTTTGGAAGTCCTGTAACTAAAATAAAGTGCAGTACTGTACTTGGAAAATTTTGGAGGAAGAAGTGAAAAATTGTTAATGAGCTAATCTTGTCTGTGTTATAAAATGTATTACTTCCTGCTTTCAGGTAGATGCATGTACTTAAGAAAATTACACCTCGTGTTGCTTGCAAAGTAATGAATGCTAATAACAGATAATGGTGCCTTGTTTCCAATTAACATGAGCAAGCGAACCTGGTGTTTCTAGAACTCATGATCACTGTAGTTTCTAAATTATGTGAACTCTAAAATTAAATAACCAGGTTTTGTTTATGCTGAATTCATTAGCTGATTGTTTATTGAAATCTTCTGTAGCTGATCACAATGTGAATGAAATATATTTATCTGTAGTTTAATACATTAAAAAACCCTAAGTATATAAAGCCACTTTCCACAGCCCAGCTTTCTTAAATGTTATTTAGTGCTTGGAGCTTAATAAAATACTAGGCAATGTTTTTTTATAAATAAATGTGTGTAACAGATTGTAATGTATATTCAATGGATTTTGCAATAGAGTAGAATAATGAATGAGGAGTCTGTCACAAAAATTGTTAATGTTAAGAAATGAATTTCCTTCACTTACCTGTGATGCAAAACACAATCTAAATCTGCATTAGCATGAAATTTTAAATACCATTTCAACTTAGATCTGTTGCAAAAAATATATTATATGGAGAGAAAGTCCTGGAAAGCTTGGATTCCAACCATTTATTTTCTATAGTGTTATGAATTAGGCCAGCAGTCCTGAACACTGTAACTCGCATCCAACGTACTGCCTATAAGACCATCCAACATTGTTTATGACCACAAAAAATTAAAAAGTTAAAACTTAGGTTGACGGGGAGAACAAAGCTGTTTACATAATATTATTTACTCATGTGTATTGTTTCTGGGCTAGCAAAGTTTGCTGGCATCTTCAGAAACCTTTCTTCTCACAAATTGTGTTCATAAACCTAAACTGTGTAGTATGCCACAAACTTCTCTACTTCTGGTAATATAATACATCTTGCTTCTCTCTTTAATGATTAGTAATTTAACATTTTGAATTCTGTTTGATAGCCATTCAAGTGTTACAGATTCGCAGTATTAGTGTTTATGATCATGTGATTTTTTTCTAACAGAATAAAATAATTGTAATACAGTAAAGTTTTCTAATCATTCCTGCAACTGTTACATTAAATTTGGGTGCCAACACACAAGAGCTTAATCAGTGTCCACTGACATTCATAGGAGTTTTCCTG